TTTACTTGCTTAAGGTCACGCTTGAGAGGGACGAGACGATCGAAAACGATAAAGCACTGTACTCGAATGCCGTATCAAGGACCACAGAGAAGAGGTTTGATACTGGGAAATTCCAGGTTTCTTTTGGGTGACGTGAGTTAGCCTGACAAGTCCCCAACTGTCAGAGACTTTCCTACCTATCAAACCATCATTGAAAATTTTACCTGTTGGAACTGAAAAGTTGTTAACAAATACCTTGAGTATAACCAGTGATAGTTCATCCGAACCGGGGGCTAAATTTATTTTACTTTTCTGTAGTTATCGGGAGATCGTGGTGAGTTCGATACTTTGTGAAGGCATAGAGATAACAAAGTCCAGCGGAGATGTACACTGTAAAACTAATCTGAAACTAAGAACTGAGCATTTCAACACCGCCAAAACCTTTTATACCGCAAACCTCCGTTTCATAGCTCTGTACAGGCTACAGCAAATCAAGTACCCTCTCGGAAAGTATCAATGTACAACTTGTTTAGGTGATTATTTCCAGATTTAATCAACCATCGTGGCTTTGGTTTTCTTTTCATGTTTATAGGTACAATCATTCCGCAAATTTTTAATTGATGGTGATAAACACCTAGCCTTATAGATGAAGACAGTTCCAAGCAGGCGACACTGATTGATGGCTCTGATCTGGAAAGATAAAGTCTGTTGCAGCAACTAAGGATCTTAAACATTTCTAAGTTGTACATGCGATGGAAATGTCTATGATAACCGACAAAGAGCACTGGACAGCTGTTTCGTCCATCAACAAAGCCTGGTATCTCTTAATAATCAAATGGGCTAACCCAAGCTTTCTACCGTAAAATTGAATGCGACATTCGCACAAGTTGATGACCGTCGATTCTGTAGCTCAGGAAAGAGTTTGAAGCCCCAACCCGAAAGTTCGCGGTTCGAGTCCTGATAGGGACAAAAAAGTACGCACTGCTGACGAGTCCCAAAGAGCTGTCCAGCGCTCGTTGTCGGTTATCACAAACATTACCATCCATGTAAATGCACGAACTTGTGGGGAATTAACGATCTCCCAGGGGGTGAAACCCACACCCAAGAACATCAAGAGTGCCTGGTGCTTCTTAACAATCGAATGGGCTAATCCAAGCTTGCTACCGGTAAATTTCTAGGTTCTCTGATAAACAGCTTCTTTGATTCATTCGCCCAGATGATCTCACGATGCTTATATCGTAATTCGGTTAGTCTTATTGCATGCAATCGAGCACACTTTTAGGATAAATAATTCTGAACACTGAGAATTTGGTGGTGTGTAAAAGTAAAGTTTACCTGTGCATCAACTGTGATACGAAAAAGCAGCAAGTTTCGACAATCCAGTGTGGCGATGGAAGTTACGTCATTTCTGCAAGTATCAACCTTTATCCAGAAGCAGTCATTTATTCCTGCAATCATGGACGTAGACATCATACTAGAACATGTATTTATTTCACGTGCTGATGTAATAAATGTTATATACACGTTTCTGATATGCATGGAATAAAATCCACTAAAATGGTTTACCGTTGAAGACGTGGCAAATGATTTTATCCGCCAGGTATTCTTAGATCAAGATTGTTGAGTTAATTTAGTAGTTAATAATATAACTGACAACACCTACTCGATTACAGACCTTCGTGGGGTGAACAGTGAGATGCAACGTAAAAACATCCACTTTTACAATTTCATAGGGAACTTTTTCGTGCAACCAAGCTTATATTAACTCAATTTTCTCCACATTTTCGCACTACATTCTTCGTATGATGCCTGCTACTTTATCGGCTTGTTCCTTAGAGAATATCCGCCTGAACGTGTTTCTCACTTGACTAACATAACTTACAAAATGTGCGGTTTGCGCGATAACATCCAATGCTTTGATTAACATGTTCATGAAAGATTGATCCGAGTGCAACCGATGATGGATACATCCACAAGAAGTATTACTGAGTTATCTACCGAAACAATATAATTATGACTAAATGTCTAAGTCGTACATTTCTTTCGGTTGGTTCTGAGGAAAAGCTGTCAAGGCAGACAACTCACATCCTGATTGGTTAGGTTTATGTACCTCTGCAAGTTGACTGGGTGGCTGTTGGTGTGGTCGGGCAGATTGGCTACTTGATCACACATCGTTTACAGCCACAGTCAGCGCTCATGCATGGCTTCGAATACCACTAAGGCTACTGATCGTTTTACAATTCTGAGACTAACCCTCATTTGTACTTTTTGATTTGGTGTTATTATTCGGGAAACAAGGTAATAGGTAAGCACAGATACGCAGTGGACTACGTGCCTAACTTCCATAGACTGCGATAACTGGGATGGCTTACGCTTGTTAGCAGATAGGGACCTTCGACGCGTGATAATTGTGGAGGCAGGTAAAGAGTGGAGGAAAATTAAAGATGGCCAAAGTAAAACCTGATGAGGATACCAACATCATTATTTGGACATCGAGATCAAGTAGGGCTCTCCAGGTTTTTGAACTCGTGATCGGTTCAAACGACAGTTAGATACAATGAGCACAAACGATGGAGCGGGGTTCGTGCATCTGCGCAATTTCAGGTCAGATGCATTTCGTTTATTGACCTTAGTACTGCACCCATTTTTCTGTTTCTTCCATCCAAATCAGCAGCCAAAAGATGGCATTCAAATGCGAAGCGGGCAAATACGAGGTTAATGACCGTATACGGAGAAATGCCCTAAACCGAATAACAGTTTCCCACGGTTGTTACCAGCAAACAGCCGGACAACAATCACTGAAGAAGGATAATGTTTGACCATTGAAAATAGTAAAGAACCTGTTCATGTCCGTCACACTCCTAGTTTCCGATGAACAGTGACTGATGGTTTACGGGGGATACTGCTAAGTAAAATTATCTGTCGAGTTTTAAGCCAGATTCTCCAACCGAAATTTGGCTTTAGGTTAACCAGTTCGACCAGGCGGAAACAGTTACTCAAACTGTCCATTTTTTTCTATCTGTTGGTTCATTAGATCGACTCTCTAACCTGTGTACAACCAGGAGAATGGACTTTGCCTGACCTCTACGCTCAAACCTTTCAGATCTGAGTAGAAGTTTGGGTTGAGCAAAGCTCGTTGGTACATGCGCATGTCACTGCAACACCATATCCAAATTCCACCTAATTGCAGATAATGGAAAACCGGGAATGCTCGGAGCATGACATCATCAATCATGTGCTAGCTATTTACACACCTTGAAGTCTGACTAAGGGAAGGGAAATCCTGCTGGTCACTCATCTGTTGGACTGGGGGAACCAATAACTATTTTTTGATAGGATCCAAAGCCAAATAAATCAACTTATCATCTCTGAAGAATATATATATATATATGTTCAACTTGATTACAGAGAAGTATGTGGCAAATCAAAAAAGAATTCTGTGGATCAGTGGAAGACCGGAAACAGACAAAACAAAGCTATTTATCATGCCCGTAAACCCGGATAGAAAAAATCAGGCGGGATGATTGGACACGCGAGGTGGGGGTGGAATGAAAGACATGGGGTGTCGGAATGAGACAGTTATGCACAAGACAGTGGGAGCGTTTGTCCGACAGACCGAGATCTTTGAGTGTAACCGGTAGATAGAGATATTTAGGGAGAGAGAGAACTAGTACTGTACGGCGGATCAAAATCGGTACGGATCATAATTTTCTGCTTACTAAGAATGAATGGAGTAAGATTTCTGGGTTTATGTACAACAGTCAACACTCGTAACCAGCTGAATTTATCACAAATAATTGGGGCGAAAAACAAAGCGCATGTGGAGGTGAGGGAGAACGGTGGAGTGACTATGATACACCATTCCTTAGCAAAGTAATTCGCGCGAGGAGCCTTTTTGGTCTGAATCCTCGCACTGATGCGGTGATCGTGAATGCCGTTGTTGTTGTTGTTCTTGTCGTTGAACTCGACGTTGCGCGCGTCGCAAACATCGCGGGCAATTGTCCGGTTTCGGATTTCGTAGGCAAGAACGGTGAAAACAAGCCATACAGACAGGACAAGCGACTGTGTTTATCTGTCCAAACGGGAAGAGAATCTGACCGGAATGGCAAATCTCGCACACAAATCCTTGCGCGCGACATCGCGTACAAGCGGATAAATGATCTACAATAGGTTGCAAGGCTTGGCGTAGCTCCCGATCCAACTGTCCGTCACGAACAGCACACAAATCAGCAATACTCCACAGTTCCGGGTTGGATAACCAATGAGGTGGTAGAGCTTTCAAGGAGGACAGTAAGCATTGTGCTGCAGGGATGTGAATTGAACACAAAGCGTCAGTTATGCGATAACGAGTAGTATCAACATACACACAGACACTGGAAACCTTTCTCGCTAGAGTGACACAATTAAATGATGAGAATGCATTAACGAACGATTTATTCCAATGTATTCGACAGAATAAAGTATAGATTTTACACGTCGTAGCAATCCCAATTAAGTGTATGTAATGATTCACTTCGTTGGATTTGTCTTGTAGCTTGTCGCGTACAAGTTCCATCATCTAATCTCCAAGTTTCATTGGAAAGAATAGAGAACGCGTGAGAATCAGGCACAGTGCGAAGTGAATACAACCCCCGATGCGTAAGGCTCGTAAATTCAGCGGATCATGGAAGTCGAACGACATTTGTATGGTTTGTTGCAAAAGTTGGGTGACACCGTAACTAATGCATGCAACAGAAATTACTCTCCTTGTAATCAGCATCTATTGCAGCGAGTACGGTATGCCCTCAAGCGTCTGAGTGAAGCTCGTAACGATTAAGCGGGCGCAATATATCCGATCTCTCATTCACGATCTACCCAAAATTCCCTTGAAGTCTTCTCTTTCCTCTTTGTCCTCACCTTACATACCGAATCCCCCCTTTGGTTTTGATCATATTCATTCAGTTATTCCTTTGTACCTCTCAAAACAACCAGAAAAATTCACCAAACTTGGTGGTTTAGTCCCTTTTAGGCCGAACGGTCTTCTACCCATAGTTAAAGTCACTGTCCGGGAGAGAGGTCCCGTTTTACGTCAACTCTCCTGTTCTCCCCATGATCTCAAAGCTTCTCCACTCCAATGCCATTATTTTTCCTATCCCCAAGTGTGGTGACCATTCGGATCCTAACAACTGTTGTCCCATCACTCTCACTTCTGTCATTTCGAAAACATTATTTAGACTAACAGTGTGGTTTTCTCGAGATAGCATTGATGAACGAACATCAATATATATTTCGCCTTCGTCAATCCACGAGTGAACTAATGGTCCTCATATAACACTACATTCGATAATCACAGAGACTTATTTGGTTCCGCTCGATCGCACTGGGCATGAAGGATTGCTGTCGGAGAGCTGTTCGGATTCCACCTACCTCTCGTGCTGTGCCTCGAATATTTCCTCACCAAGCAAACCGTTTCGGTGCGAGACGATGGGTCCTATCTCGGCCCTTCCCTGCGAATGCCGGTGTTCTCAAAGGTTCCATTCATTCGGCAATTTTCTTTCTTCTGTTTATCAATGAACTTTTGTCCCAAACAACTAATCACTTCACTGATTTTACAACGAAACCACTCTTCATTACTCACTTCAAGTTCTAGCAATGTCTAAAACATTTCTCTCATTTACGTCTCTCTCAAATGGGTACATTGTCTGCACCAATCTATTTTAGATTCGCTTTCCCTCCGTTCCATAAATTATTTCTCTCCTGGGTTTATCAATGAATTGTTGGTGCTTCGTATTTGGCTCTTTGGCTTCTCGGCCATGACCAACGTAAGATCATTCGGCTAATCAGCGGACCAATTTTACTCTCAAATCCCCAATAGCGTTCCCATAGCTGCTGCGTTGCCTTGTTATCCCTTTTCGGTACTTACTATTTTAATTTTTGCTCCTCTAATCTCACTTCAGCTATTACCCTCCTTTACCATTCTTTAGCCCATCTCGTTTTTAGACAGGCAATCACTCTTTACAGTTCCATTACCCACATGTTGGACGTCTATCTTTCAGCCCCTTCTTTCTCAATGACTGTGTATTTTGGAGCACTCCGTGGTGATCCAGACTTCCGTGATCGCAATCCATGCACGACTAGGAACAGTTTCTTGTCATCCAATCACCGTTCAGAAAGCTCGAACAATGGTACACCGGGCGAACATGACATTCAAGTTAGCACATATCATACGTCCTTGCATACGGTTACGTGATTAGAAGATGCTCGTTCAACCAATCATATGGACTATTACATTCTATAAAACATGATCTAATTCCATCAATAAACATAAACATTTGCTGCTATCAATTCCAGTGGATTTTCAGGCCACTGAACGAGCATCCCCTAATCACGTAACCGTTTGCACCGACGTATCACATATCCTAACTCGGATGTCATGTTCGCCCGGTGTGGCATTGGTCGAGCTTCCTGAACGGTGATTGGATGACATGAAACTGTGCCTCGTCGTGCATGGATTGCGGTCACGGAAGTCTGCATCACCACAATTCTCTTCCCTCAAGAGTGCCTCATCAATCTGGTGCGCCTGACGGCTAGACCTGCGGACTGCAATCGTTGGCTCCGCCTGTTCCTGGCGCTGTCCTTGTGTTTCGATTGGTTGTTTCTCCACACACTCCCACCATCTCCGTAATTCCATACACTTTTCCGTCGTCAAAAGCGGGATTAACAAATTGATTTTCACCAGAGATTGGCCCAAAACACACCTTATCCACAGTTAGTTATCGACCCTGGGGTTTACCCCTATGGCCATAAATCACTTTGTGTGATAAAAATATAGTCCTTTGAGAGCCAATTCACAACTTTCAGTTAAGAGACAATACCGGAAAATTATCAGCAAGAATGCGGTGGAAACGTGGGCACAATCAGCAGCTAATTAATATTCGTTGTGACTCGACACCCGAGGAGATTATACGGCGTGTTTGGACCACGTGTAAAACCCGATTGAGCTAATTTCAATATAAAATCCTAAATGGAGAACGATTGTCATCGAATAAACTGTCATAAGTAGATTAGTATACTTGTTGGGTGATTTTCCGATCACACAAATTCACAAGGAGGGTAGTAGGTCCATAATCCACAAGAGGCAAGTCCCATGTGACAGCATGCTTCAGATGAGGGTTAGCCAGCTGAGCCAGTACTCTATGGCATGTGGATATCGTGTGAATGATGACCATAGCTCCATAGCTCCACACGATTCAAGTAACGCAGTTCGGTGAATGCCACAAGTGAAATGGCCGAATGACAGAGACTACTATAATTCCACGGTCGATGGAGCCACAAGGCATAAATCGTAGACTGTCGGCAACGATACCACAGGGCATGATCGGTATTCTCTACCGAGCGATCTCGCTGAGATTTTCGTAGATGGTGTCGTGACGTGAGAGGCACCATAAATAAGGCAATCGCTATCACCCTGTTGCGCCAGAAGATTTTATTGAGCATTTGCTAGGAGTGCATCATCATCGAAGAAAGATCGACAGGAACTACGGGCAGCATTTTAGGCCATAAATCCAAGCTTCTTTATCATTGATGAAGCCCGTCTATCAGAAGAGTACCATTCTGTCACCCTAAACACACTAAGGTGCACTTGAACAAATTGGGGATTAATTGGTAACTAGCATTCAACAACACCACTTGCTGACTTGATTGCGACATGATCTAACGTTACACGAATGCAAACATACACTGTTTCAATTTCTAATTAAAAAAACAACCAGAATCCCGAATCACCCCTTGTGTCTAGCAGAAAACAGTATGCTAGTAAAATGTATGGGCGATTCACCGTCAATCTCGGAAAAGATATTTGATCAGCTGCGGTAGCGTAGTGCTTAGTTTCCTGGGACGGAACTCAAGATGTTGCACCGGACACAGGTATGAAGTAAGCGGTGAACCAAAAGTAATCAGAACAAACGGTTCATTGGCAATACCATCTAGTCTGACAACAATAGAAAGACGTGTAACAGCATTGAAAGCATGCAGACAATACTCTTTCATTTTGCAACTTTGTGTTCTGCTCCCTTCGAGGCAGAACCTGGGTCTGTGGTCGCATAATAGAAGAGCGCATGGTCTAATCGCAAAGAACCAGGATATAAGCACATGTGAATCATGGGTGACTTTACAGACAAACAAATGAAAAACCTTCTGTAACCCGCTTTGTTTTTCTCTGCACCAAATTGTGTCCAGTGTCCGTCATAACAATACACGTGCTAGTTCAGTGCCCCATTTACTGCTCTCACACGTGTCTGAGTGTCAGCACCGTGGGTTGCTGTAACCCAATTGATTGACGGTCTTCGCTCCTCAGTTTTGCGTTAGGAACCCCAGACCACGTTAGAGTTGCCAGCTAAGTTGTCGCGTTTGTAAAACCGCCCATCAAACAACTCGATCTACAACAGAAACCCAGCCTGTTGTACGTTGTTGTTGTTGTGGTTGCACGTTTAAGATGCAGGACTTGAAACACAAGGACACAAAAACAATTCCTGTTTCGAATAGGTTTGAAATCTCAGCGCCCTTTCGTTTGATGGCTCCAATCGGGTTCAAAATCCGCGAAAGTTATGATATTCCCAGAATAGTTCGAGTAGAAAAGTATCTGTGTAAAAATATCGCTCCAATTTTAATGTAAACCTACTAGGTAAAGAACTACAAAGAGTGTATAGAGTTCTATTTCAGATTTCGCTGAGTCCGGAATGTGTGCCAATCGAACCACGATACGATAATCTTTACAACAAAGAAATCAGTCTACTATTTCCTAGTGAGCCGAATATTGTCAGGTCAGAGATAATAAATTCTCTTGAGGGATTCACAATTGAAAACTTCAGTTAATCAAAGCCTGATCGGCAAGCGAGGGGAGGGGCTGTTCGAACCGCCATTTGTTGGGGCCCGGTGTCGAATTCATCAGAGCACGAGCCAATTGAACGGAGTCAAACGCTCAACGTTCTCAATAAACCTCGATACCTATTCACGCGGGTGTCCACTTCAAAACCCAGAAAGATGTGATTCACACGTCTCATCCGAGTTGGTATGGCGTTAGGGTTTTAGCCAACTCGCCTAGGTGAACTGCTGATGGTTCACTGACCCGATTACAACCTCGGATGTTAACTACGGGTTCTATCGATTTGGTGCGAAAACACTTCGGACACGTGAAGGCAATTAGTTGGGCTTCCTCGGTCAGATGCCGTTTGAGACGCTTGTTCGTCAAGGAGCATGTTGCGAGGTGCAAGATGACCAGCCACAAACCGAGACACTCTCCCATCTCCATACTTAGCTTTTCA